TACACAGTCCTGGTTCTTAAAGTTTAGCGACTTAGCAATAGACATCTCCAGAAGTAAACCACGTTTAACACTTCGAATGGTTGTTTGGGGTCTCACCGCGGTTGACTATACACCATGGTGGATATAAACTCTTATATAACTGGGACCAAATTCTGGGGATCTAGAGGCATGAGAAAAGCTCACTTTCTTTGAAGTATTAAATGCATTTTTTCTCAGTAAAATTCTAAAGTGCAAACGGGTCCTGCAAGTACACTCCCAAGATACAACCAAATCGAAATACAATTCTTGAGTCCCTAAGTTATGCACTCATGAGACCCATACAAAACTGCAGTTTATAAACTTGATATGTCTTTCTAATCGGAATAAAACTACAAACATCATTTGAAAACAAAATTTTCTCTCTCACTACAAAAACCATCATCCAATTGGTATAATACAAGCATCGATTAGGATCACAAACACCTCTCTCTCAATACAGATTAATATTCCAATCTTATCAATATCAATTAAAAATAGAAATAGTTTAACATCATATGGGAAATAGAAGCACATATATAATTGGTAACATAATTTTTTCTCACTACAAAAATCATCATCCAGTCGGGTATAATAAAAGCATTGATTAGGATCACAAACTTCTCTCTCTCACTACATATTAATCTTCCAATTGATATAATATCACTCAACATCGATTGGAAACATAATTCAATATCTATAAACATTTCTCTCGTAACAAAAATCATCCAATTGATAAAATAACAGCCATTTAATATCGTTTGGGAAATAAAAACACATATAACACTTGCACTTCATAAAATAAATCATTAATATAATGGTGTTGTTATCTAAAACTCACGTGAGGTAGTGCTACAAATATCTTCATTATCTCTTTGTAATGTTGGAATTAGGAAGCTTAGAGAGAGAGAAGCCCATAGGTGCAACATGTGTCTTCTTCTCTCCTCTCTTTTCTCCATACAAGAGAGAGAGTACGAGCACTTATAAGAGAGAAAAAGCTTATGTTAACGACAGAGAAAGAGAATGTACATGTCCTTGTTGAGGGAAGCCCCACCTCATCCATTTAAAACTTATAAACTATTAAAATATATAAATGTTAAAAAAATATGGGAACATGGCATTAAAATACCAACATAGAAAGACCACATAAAGGAAAGGGGCTGGGGTCGTAGTGTAGCACCCCTACATCCTAATCATCACGCTGTGATTTTCATTCCCACTAATATCATCTCACTAACACTTCCAAAAACTAATCTCTAAACTACTACTATTTGAAAAAATGGGTAGGGCATGTCTTTCCAACTTAATCGCTCCCTCAAAAAAAAAGGGGAAAATATCTCCATACTCCATATTTTTAGGTTTAATTTCTTAGTTGACCCAATGTTTCAAAACCTATCTTGCCTCATAGAAAACCTAGATGCTATATCTTCTAACCTCCTAGATTGACTTTACCCACTTTAGACCTTTATTTTTAGCCCAAACAAATTTGATAAAAATATTCATTTTCTAAACTCCATCTTTTGTCTCTTTTCATATGATATTCCCCATACTTCTCTCTTTCTCTCTCTTTCTTGTGTTCCCCACTTTTTCTCTCTCAACCTCTCTCTCTCACCCAGTTTCCCCAACCTCTTATTCTCACGCCAAACCATAGAGAGCTCCATTTGAGAGCAAGCTTATAATCACAGTTATCACCCCCGACATTGATTATGTTGACAATTATACAAACCAAATATTGAGTTCCTATTTTGTATATTACAAGATATTAAGTTTTCTATTTTTAGTTTCTTTTTTTGTGGGATTACTATTGTGATGATATTTGTTTCCTAAAAGACAAGAAATGTAATTTTATAAATCTCTGGTAAACCAGAGTAATCCCTATAAATGAAATACTAGTTTACCTTATGGGAATATAGGCACCATTACCGAACCACATGTATGTGTGTTGATCTATTTTCTCTATTTTTGTCTCTATTTCGTTTATTGCAACTTCAACATGGTATCAGAGCAGAAGTCTTGAGACTTGTGTAGAAGATCACAGTCGATATATATAGGTGCAATTGGCATACAAATGCATCTGTAGTTGTAGAGGTAAGGTGCACCTTCAAATTTTATCATGGTATATATGTAAAATGTTCTTA